CTGGCCGAAAAATGGTTAGGTAGAAAGATTTACTGTAAGCCTCGTTGTTTGACAATGGTGACCCTCCCCCCCCCTCCCCTTCCCCCCTTTCCTCCGGCGTTTTTTGGCACGCAGACGGCGCCGCTGCACCCGCACATTTATACGAACGGACACATCTGCTTGTCGATCTTATATGATGAGTGGAGCCCAGCGCTGACCATCCAGAGCGTATGTCTCAGCATTCTGTCTATGCTCTCCAGCTGCACAGTCAAGGTGAGTTGTTTTTGGCTATTGCCTAGTGCAGCTGCTTGCTGGCAAAACCGACGCGCTCTCGCTGTCCCCCAACCACAACGCGCGTTTTATCATGCGTGAGCCGACAACAAGCTTGATTTTTTTTTTGCTTTTGAGCAGCCAGGCTGATACTTGCGGAGGACCTTTGTGTCTCAGAATTTTGCGAAGATGAGCTCGGTTTAGCTTCCTCGCTTTTTGGCCACTCTCTCTCTCTCCCTCTCTCTCCCTCCCTCTCCCTCTGGGTGTCTGTCTCTCTCTATCTCCCTCTCTCTCTCTTCGGGCTTTACGAACCCCGCTCGGTTGGTGCTGGCCATGACAGTCGAACATCCACCAACGAAAAAACACCCCGCGTACCGTAACACACGCACGCGCGCGCGCAGGAAAAACCATCGGACAACGACGCGTACGTGAGGAAGATTGGTCGTGGCTCTCCCAAGACCACCATCTGGGCATTCCATGACGATACCGTTTGATATCCCGGCGACGGTGTCCTCTCTCGTGCGGTGGCCTTCCGTGGTCATGGTCATGGCGGTGGAATTAGTCTTGCCCGGCTTTGTCGCCCACAACCTGCTGTATATGGGGCGTTCTTCGAAGAGTCGGGGGGGGGGGGGGGGGGGGGGGGGGGGTTTTCTGGGGGGCCTTTTTTCCGGGGGGCCAAACCCCCCCCTTTGAAGGGGAGAGGCGGGGGGGTTTTTTTTCCCCCCCTTTTGAAAAAAATTTTTTTTTTTTTTTTTTTGGGGTGGTCGGGGGGGGGGGGGGGAAAAAAAAAAAAGGCCCCCCCCCCCCCCCCCAAAAACCCCTTTTTTTTTGTGGTTTTTTTAAAAAAAGGCCTTTTTTTTTTTTGGGGGGGGGAAAAAAAAAAGGGCCTTTGGGGGGGGGGGGGGAAGGGATCCCCTTCTGTTTTTTTTTTTTTCCCCCCCGGGGGGGGGGGGGGGGGGGGGGACCCTGGGGGGAGGGGGGGGAAAAAAAAAATTTTGGGTTTCTCCCCCCCCGGGGGGGGGGGTGGGGGGGGGGGGAAAAACCCCCCCCCCCCCACTTTTTCTTAAAAAAAGGGGGTTTTTTTTTTTTGGGGGAAAAACCCCAAAAAAGCCCCCCCCCACCCAAAATAAAGGGAGAAAAGCCTTCCGGTGTTCTCCCTCCCCCCTTGGGGAAGGTCCCTTTTTTGTTTAAAAACCACCCCAAAAGGGCCCCCCCCCTTTTCCCCCCCTTTTTTCCCCCGGGTTTTTTTTAGGCCCCCAAAAAAAAAACTGGGGAAAAAAATCCTTCCCCGGGTGGGGGTTTTTGGAAGGAAAAAAAAATTTCCCCCCCCCGGCTCCCCACAAAAAAGAAATTTCTCCCCGGGTGGGGCCCCGGGGGGCGGGGGAAAGAAAAGTGGGGGAGAACCCCCTACTCTTCTTAAAAAGGGTGGGGGGGGG